CGGTGCCATGTTCGAAGAAAGCTGGGGGATTTCCGCTCGGCGAACAACATGAGAATGCTTCATTTCTCAACGAAAATGTGTGTCTCGCGCGTGCCCGCTTGTAGAAAACATATTCCCTCTGTCGGATCCTCGATAAATGCCAGGGTCCTCAGACATCCATATTCCTTAATGGAAAAATGCGGAGCGTTTTGCGCAGAATCTCCGTGAGAATTGTGCTGCAACTTTCATCAAATTACACACGGATTGCTCGAGGGTGTCTGGAACGAAACGCCGGTTGTGAGAAAGCGTCAGGCTGATGTCTAGCATGAGAGCATGAGGCTGTGTTGAGGATGTCTCGGGGACGCGCTTGTTTGCAAGTGTCCAGGTCGCGCAGGCGGATGTCTAATATAGGAGATGTGTTGAAGATCTCTCAAACGAAACGCTTGTTTTTACATGGGTTCCGTTCGACCGTCAACGCACACCATGTGTTTTGACGTAGGTTCCTTTCGCTCGAGAATTAAAACCACATGTTTCTACCTGGGAGCCCCTTGCGCACATGGGGTCAACCCATCAACGCACTTTCCTTCCGCCCGTCAACCGAAATCATCTGATATGTTACACGGATTCGGTTCGCCCGTGAGCGCAAAATACATTTGTACTAAATGGGTTTCTTTGGCCCGTGGGCTCACACCACGCGCGTTTACATAGGTTCCGTTCGCCCATTCGCTCAACAAATGTGTGTTTTCTAGATGGCTCCCTTTCACTCGCGAGCCAGAACCATGTGTGCTTACAGTCGGGCTGCTGAAAGAAGGAACGCAAAAAAAGGAACGAAGCCCCTTCTTGGCCCTGTTAGCGCCTCCGTGCCCCAGGAGGGCAAGAGGAGCAGCACTGGAGGAACCTAAGGAGCATCGAGCCCCTTCCGAACCCAAACTGTTCCGTAATTCAGCGTTTCACTGTACATCGATCCTTTTCGTGTGCTTACATCGATCCCTTCCGATCGACCATGAGCCAAACTCATGTGTCTTTACGTAGCCTCCAATCGCCTGCCAGCCACATTCATGAAGTCTTGCATGGAATCCTTTCGCCCGTAAGCTCAAACCGTGTGCTCTAAAAATGTTGCGTTTCGCCCGTGAGCCAAAATAATATACCTTTACGTGAGTTCGTTTCGCCCGTGAGCCAAACCCATGCAATTTTTACATTGGTTAACTTCGCCTTTGTGCCAAAGCCATGTGCTGCTACATGGGTTTCGTTGCACCCGCGAGCCACAACCATGTGTGTTACATTGGTTCCTCTCGCCCGCGAACCAAAACCATGCGTTTTTAGATGGGCTTGCTTCGACCGTGAGAGAAATTACCAAAACCACGCTTGCTTGCACGTGAACCAACACCTTGTGTATCTACATGGGACCCTTTCGCCCGTGAACCAAATTTGTTGCGCGTCGTCTTGATGCGGGCCGTCGTGTTTCGGTTCGCCACGTGTCGGTCTGTCCATTCACCGCGCGTTTCGCCTCAGCTCGCATTCGCCTCTTCTTGGCGCGTCCCGTTTCGTAACTGCATCGGATCTTATATTCGAGCTGGTGGAGCGCCCCGCCCCCTTCGAATGCAATCACCTCTGGACGAGCTATTTGTTCAAGGAACTCGGGCTCAATATTCAGATCAATTCCGCCCGGACTCGCATGCCACGGAAACTAGATCCACAACGCAATAATACGCACCACAATGCGGAATGATATCTTTCAATGTATCGCGGTGCATCACCGCAGTGCCCTGGTAATGCATATAAGAAAGAGCGTGTTCTACCGCTGCTGGCGAAACGCTGGGGGGGGGGCCCCCTGGGCGTTCCCAACCCGTCCCCCCCCCTCGACAACCGGGGGGGTTCGAACCCCAACCCTCCCCCCCCCAATCCATCATGCAAAGGGGGGGGGTCACTACCAGTTCGACTCCCCCCCCTCTCGCCGCCGGCAAACGATTCCCGCTCCTCAGGACAGTTGGACAGTGGTGGGGATACTGGGACAGTGGTGGGGACGCTGGTGGTGGGGACAGTGGTGTGGGGACAGTGGGACAGTGGTGCGGACAGTGGGACAGTGGTGGGGACGGTGGTGGTGGGGACAGTGGTGAGGGGACCGCGGGACAGTGGTGAGGACAGTGGGGACAGTAGTAGGGACGGTGGTGGTGGGGACTGTGGTGAAGGCGGTGGTGGGGGAGTGTGGGACAGTGGTGGGGACAGTAGTACAGTGAGGAGAGTGGTGGGGACAGTGGGGACAGTGGGACAGTGGTGGGGACAGTGGGACAGCACAGTGGGACAGCGGCGGGGACAGTGGGGACAGTGGGACAGTGGTGGGATCAGTAGGGCAGTGGTGTGGACAGTGGGAATAATGGGGAGCGCGGGACCGTGGCGGGACAATGGTGGGGACAGTGGGACAGTGGCGGGGGCACTGGTGGGCACAGCGGAGACAATGGTGGGAACAGTGGGACAGTGGTGGGAACTGTAAGACAGTGGTGGGGACGGTGGTGGTGGGGACAGTGGTGTGGGGACAGTGGGACAGTGGTGGGGACAGTGGGGACAGTGGTGAGGGCGGTGGCGAGGACGGTGGTGGGACAATGGGACAGAGGTGAAGTGGGGACAGTGGTGGGGACAGTGGGGACAGTGGTGGGAACATTGGGACAGCTCAGTGTGACAGCGGCGGGGACAGTGGGACAGTGGGGACAATGGAACAATGGTGGGGACCGTGGAGAAAGTGGGGAGAGTGGGACCGTGGTGGTGGGAACAGTGGTGGGGACAGTGGGGACGGTGCGACAGTGGTGGGGGCACTGGTGGGGACAGTGGGGACGTGGGGACAGTGGTGGTGGGACAGTGGTGCTGGGGACAGCAGTGGGGGATGCGATGCGGACGGTGGTGGGACCCGGGAGTCATTTGCCAGCGTGAGTGTGGGGGGGGGGTTCGAACCCGTAGTGCCCCCCCCCCCCCCCCCGATTTTCTGGAGGTGGGGGTTTCGAACCAGTAATGAATCCCCCCTGTTTTCTGAAAGACCGGGGCGGGGGGGTTCGAACCGGTAGTGACCCCCCCCGTTTTCCGGAGGGGGGGGGGGCGGGGGAGGGGTTAGGGGGGGGGGGCCTGGGGAAAAGGGGGGGGGAGGGGGTTCCAGCAGGGGGGGGAGGATTTTCGAAGGGGGGGGGGACCCCCTGGTTCCAGAGGAAGAGGGGAGGAATTAATTGTTCCACAGTAAAGCGGCGGTGGATCACGCTCTCTCGTATATAAACATCGTGACCTTCATCATTGCAAAAGCCTGTCGCCCAGGAAAGTTTTGAAAACGCTTCCATGTCTCACAATTCTAGATTCCTTTCGGGGGTCGTGGGTCGATCATGTTTCGGTCAGATGCCGTTTGTGCTGACAGGGGCAAGGCGCCATGAAAGTCGTGGGACGTCTTCGTCAAATTGATGGGGGACTACTGAGCTCGATTAGGACGCCATGTTGAGATCGATGAGGCAAGGTAGCCCTGGGATTGAACCGAACTCAACGGAACTTGGCCGGATTAAGCGGTACTAAGCCAGATTAAGCGGGACTAGGCTGGATCAGGCTGCTTTCCAACCTCGGATATACCAGCGCCGATTCCGAATGTGACCTCCCAGGAGTTGCATCTCAAGGGAAAGATCGAATGGCTTGTGGTCTCCAGCGGGCAGCAAACAACCTGCCCCGGCACGGCCAGTGCCCAGCCTCCCGCTGGAGGAACGGAAGGAGAGAGGAGGGAGGCGGAAGAGGACAAGAACGGATCAGGTAAGGAAACAACTCCTCGGATGTCTTCGCCAAGACGATGACATGGTATTCGGCCCAATTACGTGGCCATTGAACCGGATGAAACCGAAATAAACCAAGGATTAAATAAACCAGATTAAGCGGGACTAGCTGGATTAAGCGGGATTCGGCCAGATTTGATGGGATCAAGCCGGATCAAGCGGGATGAAGCCAGATTAGGCCAGTACGCTCCCAGTACAATACCAGCGCCGATCCAGAACTTAGACAGGAGGGGAGCGGGGAGGGAGTCTCAGTCTGGAAAATACTGGGGACTTCCCTTCCTGCTAATCCGGCGGCGGCGCTTAAACAAGATCTAAATCGCGGAACCCCGTTTTCCCTGAGGTCGGTCTTCTCTTAGAAAGAAAACCCTCATCTGGGACACGTTTGGCGTGTTATTCTTATGTTCGCCTGTGCGGTGGCCCACGCGCGTTTGGCGTATGACTGCGCTGTTCACTCGCTCATGAGTTTTGGTAGGATCTCAGGAGACCCACCGTTTATAAACACAGAGGACACAAAGAAGGATGAGGGGGAAGAGGGGAGGAGGACACCCATGAAATTCAACGCCTGTGAGGGGGGGCCGTGGGCACCCGGTGGATCGTGGGAACTTGAGTCGAGCGTGAGTCGAGCTAGAGTCGAACTCGAGTCGAGCCAGAGTCGAAGTAGAGTCCAGCTAGATTCGAAATATAATCGAACAGATCCGTTGGCTGACCCCCAGGAAGGTCCCCAAAACGAGCATCTAGCATTCGGGCACCGCGGCTCGACCTGGAGGTGCACACAGCGTTAGATGCCACGCACGTCCGCAAACCTTGATATTGGATGTCCAGCCCGCAGTGAGGAAGAGGATGACGACGAGGAGGAGTTGGGTCTGGCCAGCATTCCGCTGACTAATGCTGGTTCCTGGAGGCTTTTCCACTTGGCTCTCGGGTGTTCCTGAAGTCTCTTCTGCAGGGCGGGAGGAGATCCAGAGGCGCGCAGGCCTCCGCACCGTGGGCCCAGATTTTCATTCGAGATCTCTTGGGTTAGACGAGCGCGTTCCACTAATCGCAGGAAACTACTCGCAAATGACCTGGATCCCCCGCGGGGGATCTACGATAAATTACATCAAAACAGACATGTGTGTGTTCGGACGTTTGCGAGTAGGCACTTTGCGAGTAGTGGAACGCGCTCGGTGATGGGTGAGAAGAGAGCAATCCTGATCCTGAAAGAACTATACTGCCTACGAAAACCTATCACGGAATCTTCACATCGGTCGCCGGGAAAGGCTCATCGCCGACATGTGGGACGAAAGACAGCTCAATATCGGGTCCCACTAGGAGAAGGCTGTCCTCGCTAACCAGCCACTTGAAAAGCTTGCCCAGGCCCTCGCCGAGCAAGTTCTCAACCTCCATGGGGCCAGGTGGGCCCATCATCTTGGTGGACATGGGGAGGCCCACTCTCAAGCTGTCAAAGGGCGCCAACGATTCGTCCGTCTCCGACGAAGCCTCAACACGCATGTTGTTGCAAACCTTGACGGAGAAACGGAACTTGCCCGATCCAACCCCCTCGACAGTCAGCACGGCCGTTCCGCCCTCCATCCTGTCGGACAGGGGAAACTCACCGAGCTCAGGCCCGACCATCATCTTCATTAAGGCCCACGCTCCTTGCGCTGGGTGCGACTTTGCTCCGCCCTCCGGCTGTCGGTCTCGAATGTCTGGTACGGTCGATGGGAACCGGATGGCGAAGCGGTCCCCATCACTGCTTGTCGACACCTTTGAGGGGCATACAAGGCGGAGCTACTTCAATCCAAGGAGCAGGAAGAGGATGAGAGCATGGAATTACGCAAGTGTGGAAATATTACGTTGATTCTGCCCCAGGAAACCACAGGGAACACATCAGAAGGGACGCTTCGCTCCGCAACAAAGCCTGGACCCAAGCAGCGCCCGTTCTGATAGAAGACCACGGTGACTGCCTCCTCGCTTATCTGCACGAGGACTCCTATGACCGCGCCCTTCTTGATCGGCTTACCGAAGCCTGGGCGCACGAGGGCTCCACCTGATGGATCACCCCAAAAGATGCCAATGCACTTCAGGAGCCCCAAGGCCGTACAAACGCCCGAGGCGAATCTGTCCTCAGGCTCATCGAAGAACCACGCATGTCACCCATGTTCACCCCAGGAATTCTCAAAATGCCCCTGGCTGCCCCCAGGGTTCCCGCAACTGCTCAAGGTGGCCCAAGCGGCCCGAAACTTCCCTCATCGCGGCGACAGGGACCAAGACGGCCCGCAGGCGGCCCAAAACCGCCCCAAAACGCATCAAAGACGTCGTATGGACATGGCGCGATCCCACGAATAAGCCGGCTTCTCACAGCCGAAGCTTCCAGTTATGTTATTGATAGTGCAGGCCAACTTCTAGTGCTGTTATTGATAGACATGCTCGTCTTGGTCTCCATCTCGTTCATCTGTTTCCGCCGTCCGAAAAACTATCATCATCGTCACCGTCAGGGCCGTCGATGCCGTAATCCTGGCAAATCACCAACATCATCGCAATCGTCATCGCCGCCGTCACAATGTTGGTATCGTTGACAATGTCACCCGCCATCGGCCCCGATGGCCATGGAAAACACAACGAACTGTCATCGTGTTTCGCATGACATACTCAATGCTACCATACATGTATCGCTACCGTCTTAGTGTCAACGCACACGCAAACATGATCATGGATGTACCAGAACCATCCTGAATGCGGTTCCAACTATACTGTAATGGAATGAAGTGGGACGCAACTCAAGCCAACTCAATGCAAAGCAATGCAACGACAACCACCGAAGGCAATGCAATGCAAAGCGTCGCAATGTAATGCATTCCACTGCGACGCAGTGCGATGCATCTAAAAGCAAACAACGATGTGCAAAGCAATACCGCACAACAGTTCGAAGTTACCACTTTCAGAACTACGAAAGGAATCCGAGAAATTGGAACGACCTTCTGCGATCCCAAAGGCCGAGGAAACCAAATAATCAGATGAACCCACAAATGACTTCGTTTGCACACACACCCAACGATCCGAAAGAACGAGGCTGCATAATGCTACGAGTAATTACCCGACCACGTGCACCAAGTAAGTTGTCCACCCTGAGGCTCAGCGCGGCTGAGAAACATGAACTACCCAAGATGGCCCCAAGATGCCTTCGAGGGATCCCCCATGACTGACTGAAAAAAAAACCCAAATGGGGCCGCAACATGCTGCATGCTCCAAGATGACTGGATGGCCCCCAGCCGGCTCCAAGGAGGCCAAGAAGTGTTCGTTCAAGCTGCTGCGAGGCCATGGACCCTAGACATTACATGTTACGGTCGACCGGGCCATGCGGGAAAACAACATTTTACCTTGCACAACCGTTTGTCCACTGGAGCAACAAGCTGTTGCATGCTACAGGTGACCTGTACGGCATTCTGGGCCCTGGGGAGCACAACTATTTCACGTTACGGTCTTATCAAGTCTGCGGTAGAGATGTCATTCAATTACCATACGTGGTGCCGCGCTGGGCGGAGCTTGTGTATAATGCCCCAGCCACCGCTTGAAAGATTCCCAGGGCCTCCAAAGAAGAGCCCCTTGCACTTGTATCCGGGTGCGAATCCTTTCTCCGATGCCACTCCGATAAAGCAGCTCTTCTGGAGCTCCTGAACATCAATCTCAAAGTACTGTCCAGACGACAAGCTCGTGGTGCACCGAGCATTACTTGGCGCATCTCCCTTCGCCTTGCCAACGATTTCAAACTCTGGCGCATCAGCGGAACAGTTCACACTCCCACTGCCGTCGTCAAGCCACATGGTGTCGAAAAACGGCGAACGGGCACGTTTCCGGAATCAGATTGAGCCAATACTGCGACAGGCACATAATGAATTCCGATGTTCCCAGATTTCTGACGAGTAGAAGGAGAAAACTGATCCCACACCGAGCCTGAGAAGCTTGGACGAGTCCAAACTGCAATGAGCCCAACATGCAGGTTGTGAGCATCACCTTTGCAGACAGCCAGGACGCCCAACGTCGGCACGAGTCCAAACGCGGACGAGCACATGCTGAAAGCCAGGCACAAGCAACATCGGAGGTCCGCACGGGCTCCTTCCTCGGCGCTGACCCCTCCCTCCCTCGCGCGCGGAGCGCGTCATGGGGAGGCTGCCGGAGACGCCGACAGAGGGGCCAAACGTGGACTCAAGAAAAACCCGCGCGGACCTCCGAACGGTATAATGCTTGTGCCGTGAGTTGTGGGCAGATGGGGGGCCGTCCTGACGAGGCGGCGGCGTCCGCGCGGGCGTTCCATGTCGGGCCCCGCCGAAGGGGCCAGAACAGAGTCTGCGGCATCGGAAGGCCGCGATCGCTGCTGGCCAGGGCCAGCCTCGGCCCCGGCATGGATGTGCATGGCACCCTGGCTGAGACCAGGACGGCCTGGGCTCCGACCTCCCTGGATCTGCGACGTCGCGGCCCAGACCCCTTCGCTGGAACCAGCTTCCACTCCCCGTCGCTTTTGAAGGTCCTGGGGCCAGGCGGCGGCACCAGGGGACCGAACCAGTTGGCAACGAAACCCTCCGTGGTGATTTTGCACCACGAGAGGCAGGGCTGAACCTAAACGGTGTCCTTCGTGTTCGTTTTGCTTTCGCTCTCCCTCGCTTTTGTCTCGAATCCGCCTTGGCCGCAAAACAAAGTCGAAACGAAAACGGCCCACGAAATCACCAGACACACCGTTTAGGTCCAACCCTGACGGGAGGAGGCGGGGGCCCTGCGCGCATCGCGCGCGCTGGCCCTCCCGCCCCTGACGCCCGGGCAGGCGGTCCTGGCAGACCGAACGCGCCGCGCGCGCCGCCGTGCGGGCGACCAGCATGGCCATCGCGCACTCCTGGGGCGAGTGGGCCGCTGCCGTCACCGTCGCCGTTGTCGCCGCCATGATCGTCGCTGCCGCCGCTGTCGCCGTCACTGTCGTCGCCGCCGCCGTCGTCGTCGCCTCTGTCGTCGTCGTCTCCGCTGACTCCAGTGTCGTCGTCGTTGTCGTGGTCATCGTAATCGACGTCGGCCTTGCACCCCCCATGCCTCGTCCGTGCGCCCCCTGTCATGATGTAAGAAAGAAGCTTGGACGCAAAACTGAATCACCTGGATCAGCTGAAAAAAACAATTCGACGATTATTCACGGCCCCATGGATATATCCCGAATGAAGAACATTCCAGGGCGGAGGACAGAAAACACCCCATCCAGGGCTACCGTTGTCCTTAACCCTCGTGCCAACTGCATGAGACCCGTATCATGAAGGGGGGCCTGTTCAGGCTGGAATGTCTCGGCCACCCCTGATGGCAGCGGCGAATACCGCGGAGGCCTGCGGAAATCCTCGAATACGACTCCGGGGGGCCAAAGAAAAACACACGACTAAAACAACGGGTCTTACGCGAGATGCCATAGCGACCTTACGCGGCGGCTTACGCGGGCCGCCAACGCGGCATGCCACAGTGGAGACGTGGGCGCTCACGTGCGTCCTTACGCGGCCAGCTTACGCGGCAACGTAAGTGAAGACGACCACGCTATTGAGGGGGCGAAAAGATACCTACACCGCTACCCCCTGGACCTCTCCATTGGCGCGACATGAAAGGAACTTCGATGCTAATGAACATTGCCGTGGCGACGAAGGCTTCCCTGGAGGCTCAAGCAGGGGATTACGAGGGAAGGGCAGCGGTATGGGTATCTTCTCCTCTGGTTTTCCTGGCATGATGCCCTCTGCCCCCCCTGAGCACCACGGGCAACGAGACCAACCCCCCGGTGCCCAGGCGCACAGCCAACGAGCGCCTGCGCCAGCCCCCCTTTCCTCCTCCTCCTCCTCCTCCTCCACCTCCTCCTCCTCCTTCTCCTCCTCCTCCTCCCCCCCCTCCTCCTCCTCGTCCTCCTTTTATATCTTATCCTCCTCGCCTCCCCCTTTTCCTTCTCGTTGCCCTCCCCCTCTCGGCTCAGAAGACACGAAGAAACCCTACCCAGCTCTGGCTGGCCAAACTGCGCGCCGCGGCGCCTTGCCTGGCCGAGGAGACGAGCGCGCCCCGCGGGGCCCAAGTTCTGCCAGCCTCTCCCCGGCCTCCGCCACGAGCACGAACGGGGCGAGGGAAGCAGAGGGGGAGAGAGCGAGCGGATGGAATCGAGACGCTGTTCTGGTCGTGTCCTGCTACCCGACGCCCCCCCAACAAAACAAAACGGTGGAGCGTACGCGCGGGTGGGGGGGGGGCCGGACCCGCCCACCACGCAAATGCTGGCGCTCGCGCGCGCACGTGGGCGATCGCACCGTAGTCCCGCCCAAAACTCGGGGAACAGACTCAGTATCAATGACACGCTTTCGCGGGGAACCCATCGGCGTGCTGTTCCCCCCCCCCGAATCAAAACAACGAAAAAACACGCCGTCGGACACGAACGAAAAAATGACATGTGGGGGGTCTACCAACAACAGCGTGTCGGTGATACGTTTTCTCCCTTCGCCCCAAGCAGGAGCAGGGCGAAGGGGGCACAAGGAACGAGCGAGAAAACTGAGTCGGAATGGGGCGGGGAAGGGAAGACCGAGCTTTTCCCCAAGCAGCTTGCCTGCCGGGGCGCTCACCAGACATTCCTGAACAAATCTCGGAGAGCAGCAGGCGCAATGCCGGATCCACGGCCGGTCGGGCGGCGTCGTCTCCCGTTGCATCCCGTTGTCTCACGGTGTCTCCAAACGTCCCCCGCGGTCCCTCATGTTGTACCAAGATTCCAATTCGTATCCCAGTCCGTGTCCATCCCTATCCCTGTCCCTGTCAGCGGCCCCGCATCGCGGCCCCCCGTCGTGGCCTTTTTGCCGCAACTGCCTAAATAATAGATACGGAAACGATTTATATATATATATATATATATATATATATATATATATATATACTCCTCCTCCTCCTCCTCCTCCTCCTCCTCCTCCTCCTCACTGCGCCTCCCAAGCCAAGGAAACCTAAAATGCATTGTGTATGGCGCCGTCGGTGCAAGGATTTTTTTTCGTCTGAGAAGCAAGGAAACGCTGTGTGTTTTTTTGTTTTGTTTTGCAAGCCCGAATGCCCGCGCTGGCCTCCCTCTCAGCACCCTTCCATGAGCCTCAGACCAAGAAAACCAATACTACACAGTGTTTGGCGCCCTCGGTGCAAGGAAACGCTGTGTATGTTTTTTTTTGATTTGAGAATCAAGGAAACCTTGTGTATGTTTGGTTTGTTTTTGTTTTTTTTTTGGTTCTGCAAGCTCTGAGGGTGCTGGGAGGGAGGTTGGTGCGAGCGTCGGGGTTTCCAAAACCAAAAAAACAGCAAAAAAAAATGCACAAGGTTTCCTTGATTCTCAAACCAAAAAACAAAACAACAACAAAAAATCGTTTCCTTGCACAGAGGGCGCCAAACACTGTGTATGTTTGGTTTTCTTGTTTTGCAACAAGGAAGAGGAAAGGAAGGGGCTTGCAAAACCAAAAAATATATTAAAAAAACAAACATGGCCTCCCTCCCAGCACCCTTTCATGCGCCTCAGACCAAGACAACCAAACATACACAGTGTTTGGCGCCCTCGGTGCAAGGAAGCGTTTTTTTGTTTGAGAATCAAGGAAACCTTGTGTATTTTTTTTGGCTCTGCAAGATCTAAGGGTGCTGGGAGGGAGGTTGGTGCGAGCGTCGGGGCTTCCAAAACCCCAAAAAATGCACAGGGTTTCCTTGATTCTCAAACACAAAAAAAAACCCAGCGTTCCATTGCACCGAAGGCGCCAAACACTGTGTATGTTTGGTTTTCTTGTTTTGCAACAAGGAAGAGGAAAGGAAAGGGGCTTGCAAAACCAAAAAAAATATTAAAAACAAAAATACACAGCGTTTCCTCGCTTCTCAAACCAAAAAAAAACACAGCGTTTCCTTGCACCGAGGGCACCAAACACTGTGTATGTTTGGTTTTCTTGCTTTGCAACAAGGAAGAAGAAAGGAAAGGATGATCCAAAATACTCCCTTCGATGTGCTTTCAATAAGGAGATCAGGATGAGGAGGACGATGAGAAGGACGACGAAGATGAGGAGGATGCCCCCCCCCCCCCCCGTCCGTCGTTCGGGGCGCCGGGGGGGGGGGGGGGGGGCAAGCATATATATATATATATATATATATATATATATATACACACACACACACACACACACACACACACACACACACACACACACACACACACACACACACACACACACACACACACAACAACAACATCCTTTGTGGGGCGGACGATTAAAACAATTGTTTCGCGGGCCTCCTCGCCCCCGCATTATCGGGGGGGCAGGGCAGGCATGCGGGGGGCTGACAATTCCGGGTTGCCTGGAAGGCCAAGGGGGGGGGGCACGGGGTGGCGATCCAGGGCGCGGGGGCCAGGGGGGTGGACGGGGTGATTTTTCAGGGCGAGTTCGTCGTCCTCCTCCTCCTCCGCCTCCTCCTCGTCTTCGTCGTCCTCCTCATCCTCCTCCTCCTCCTCCTCCTCCTCCTCCTCCTCCTCCTCCTCCTCCTCCTGCGGAGAAAGGCAAAGCAGGCGGACCGTCTGCGGCGACGAAGGGGGCAGCTGTTCAGGGAAACCAAAAGACCCTCGCCCGCCCCTCCCTGCTCGCGATCTGAGCCTGAGGGTGGCGTCGTAAGGGGCCAGGCGCCCTTACTCGTTCGATGCGCCCCTCGTTCCTCGTGGCGGCACCCAGGGAGACGATGAATGCGTGTGCGGCAACGAGAGCGCAGGCAGGATATGGAGATAATGAACCACGCGGCGGTTCCCGCTCGGACGTCCTCGCAATTGAGGAGGAAGATGAATAATTCAGAGGAGGAGGAGGAAGAGGAGGAGGAACAGGAAGAGGAGGAGGAGTGCTTGCGTGCCACGCCGTGCTCTGCCATGCTACGCTTTGATATTCAACGCCATGCTATGCAATGCTACGTTTGGAGCCGCTGTGCGATGCCATGCTTTGCGTCGCAAAGAGTTGCGATGCAATTCTTCAGTACGCCACGCCACGCCATGCTGTGACATACTACGATTTGTGGTGCTCTTCAACGCCATGCCATGCCGTGCTCGACAATGCATCGCGTACCCTTTCGGGATCATTGCCCTGCTCGACATCCGACTGTGCGAGTAGAGAGTGGTAAAGGATGGGAGGGAGGGGTAGGCTGTCATTTATGACGCGAGCGCACCTAGCTTGTCCTTCCCCATCCTCCTCCTCTTCCTCCTCCCATTCCGCATCCCCCGCCTCCCAATCGCCGCGGCCGTCCGCAAGGACGACCGGCGGCCGTCCGCAAGGACGAAGGTGATCAAGCGCCTCTTCGAAAACCCCTTCCTTCAACTACTCCCTAACTGCCCCGCCCCCCCTCCGCAATCCTCCCCCCGCGGCCGCGGGTGATCAAACGAGCGAAGGAGGACGAATAGAAAATCAGTTCCCCCAAAGGGGCAAAAACAAACGTCGGGGGGCGGACGATTAAAAAAACAGTTTCCGGCGGCTGAATTCCATTAGTCCGCCCCACTTAAATTTTTTTGGGGGTCCGGGGGGGGGGGCGATTTTCTGATCGCTTCCCTGCATTATGCAATCGCGGGATCTCAGAACGTGTGCGCTATCAACATACGGCCACACGAATGAAAAAATCAAACAGACAGGCGCGCGATGAGGACACCAAGCGTATCAACCCGACCCCGTGCCGCGGCGATGCGTGTCCGAAACCCTGGGCCGGGGATGTCGAACATTTGCCCATGCACGCCCTGCCCGCCATGCGGCCTCGAGGTGGAAGACCTGGAAGAGCAACAGCAGCAGGGGGCAAAAGGGGGGAACAACGCCCAAAGACCAGGACGAACCCGGAGCCGGGGGGGGGAGAAGAGCGAGCGACAGGGATGGACCGCGCCGAAGGAGGGGAGAGCGGAGGGCGAAGCTGGGACGACAGCCCGAGGGACGAGCAGGACGGAGAGCAGGCAGGGGAGCGACGCAGGACGGCGGAAGGAGGGGCGGCGACGCCACCCGGACGGCGGACGGGCGGGAGAGCAGCGCCGGCACTCATGCTTTTAAATCTAGATCACCTTGAGACACATGATGCACACCCCACCTAGAAACTCCTCCGCTGGGCAAAACTCCGAAACCAGGAGGGGGAGGAGCGAGGAGCGGAAGGAGCAGAGGACTCGGGCTCCTCGTGGTCCGCGGCCCACGTTAGTCTGGCCGCTGACGCCCACGAGGCGCCAGCCCCGTTCACCTTCGCCCTCCGGCGCGTTTTGCGCGCGGCGCGCCCTCTCGCCACACGACGGCGATGCGATGAGGCATCTCCCGTCGCGCCGTGGCCGGCTCCCGGCCCTCTCTGCTCCGCCATCTGACTACCTACCAGACCACCCCAACCCAACCCGAAGACCCGAATTCGATTAGAATTCCGTTTTTTTTTCAATGTCCCCCGACCCCCCCACACTGGAAAGGGAGGGCAACTTGAGGCCTTCGGGTTGGGTTGGGGTGGTTTGGTGGGTGGTAACTACCGCCGTCGCCACCGCACGGACCGCGGCGCCCGCACCCTTCGACGTGCCGCCACGGGCCTCGAACGCGACTGGCTTGAACAAAAGGACGTGCTCACGGCATCACTCCTCCTTCCGGTTGCGCTGCCTCTTCTCCTGGTCGTGCACATCGGCCGCGAGCCCTGGCGCCATGGCCGCGTCCGCCCGGCGCGACGGCCCCAGGGCGTTGATCAAGGCGAGGTCAAAGCAGACTCTGTCAGCCCTCACCGCGCGGCTGCCGTCGGGCAGGAGCCGTGCTCGGGTGATGCGGGGCATCGCCAGCACGCTTGCCGGGCGGTGCTCGTCTGATGCCTGTCGTGCTTCGCGTGCCCAAGGGCCATCCAGCAGGCCCCGCCGCCTCCAGCGTGGGGCGCAGCCCGCCGCGAGCAGAGTAGTCGTAGAAGACGTCTCTGATCGCATTGTGCACCAGCGTGGCGTCCCCTCCGCTCCTGCACGACAGGCAACGCGTGCCCTTCGCGTGCAGCGGGGCCGCGCACAGCGGGCACGCAAGGGTGTCATCGGTTGTTTTCCACCGCGGCGCTCAGGCGCCACACAGTCTCACCGTCGATCAGGCTGCATGTAGATTTCGTGGTGGATGTGGGGAGCAGCGATCGAGGGGCAGGTGGAGGTACAGGCAAGAACGACAGAAGGCGAGCGGCAGCAGAGGTGCTCGCAGCTGCAAGCGGCACGAATCCTCAAGAGAGGGGAGAAAGCAGGCGGAGGAGGTGGGAAGGAGACCTCCACTCGGACGAGCACCTGGTTATGAAACCCAGCGGAGTGATGTCGATCGCTGGACTCTGGCACGAGAGGGGGAAGAGGTGGCAGAGGGAGGCGAAGAGGGCCAGGGGGCAGAAGACAATGTGGATCAGAGATACGGGAAAGGGAACTGGGAGGGATCGGGGCAACATCCGCTCTTGTCAGCGGTGTCCCCGAAAGGAAGGAGTTGTCAGGGCTGTTTAGTAAACGCCCAGGGCCGTTTAGTAAACGCCAACTGTGGTCCGGGCGGTTTGTCCTCCCTTGACTGGAACATAGGACATAATGGCCTCGACAACGGCAATCAGCATGAAACATCACCATGTGATTGAATAGACGATGAAACATACGACACGCTTTAATATCAAGTGGCTTTGCGTCAAGCGGATCTGACCGAGCATCTAAACAACGACTTCGACCACGACGTCGCCGCCGACGGGTCGTCCGCCGCCCTTCCGCGGGACAGCTCCCCGCCTGGAAGCGGGCTGGCGGAGGAGTCGGCTTAAGCGGGGGCGAGCGCTTAGCGAACCTCCCAAGGGAAGCCTCGAGCCAAGACGCCCGCGCGCGCGGCCGCGGCGTCGACATCGCCGTCGTCGAGGTCGTCGTCGTCGTCGTCGTTGTCGCGGTTGTCGTGGTCGTGGCGGTCGTCATGGTTGTCGTCGTGGACGTCGTGGTCGTGGTCGTGGTCGTGGTGGTGGTGGTAGTTGTGGTCGTGGTCGTGGTTGGTGGTCGTGACCATGGGCGTCGCCGTCGTCGTCATCGTCGTCGTTGTCGTCGTCGTCGTTGTCGTCGTCAAGGTCGCCTTAGTCGTCACCTTCGTGGTGAACTAAGCAGCCCTGAGGGCCTGATCGCCTCCCTTGAGCGGAGGAAGTCGCCCCAGAGACGAGAAGAGCGTGGATTGAACATGCCTCCCCTGAGCGGCCTATACAAAACGGTGCTGCCCGTGTGCTCACCACCGACTGGTCCTCTAAAAACCTCCTGAATAGGGTCCGAGTAAATGGGGTCAAAGGATCGCGCCGTACTGCCAATGCATCGCCGATGCATCGGCGATGCACCGGCGACGTCGCCGATGCATCCGCGACGTCGGCGTGGGGAAACACGGTCTCCACATCGAGCCGCATCGTCGAGGCATCGGCGATGCGGCGCGATCCTCCAACCCCATCTACTCCGTCCGACCCCTGCTCCTCCTCCTCCTCCTCCTCCTCCTTCCCCTCCTCCTCCTCCTCCTCCTCCTCCTCCTCCTCCTCCTCCTCCTCCTCCTCCTCCCCCTCCTCCTCCTCCTCCTCCTCCCCCTCCCCTCGCCTCCCGTGCGCACGGCCAACGAGGAGCGAACGCTGGGACGCTCCGCCACTGCTCCGCCACTGCTCTCCTCCGCGGGAGCCGCCCGCGCCGCCGCCGCCGAGAGGCGGCGGCCCCCTCGCCCGGCGCCTCTCGGGCTGTACACGCCAAAGAGAGTGACTCGGGCAAGTCCTCCTACAGGCATGTCCCCCAGGTCCTCTCCCCTCAGACTGAGCCCCCCCCCCCCCCCCAAAGACCTCTCCAGGGGCGAGCTCCGACCAGGATCTGGGCGCGAGTCCAGCCGTGGCGCCGACGGGCCGACGGCCCCCACGGGAGCCCCCCACAAAGGCACTGCCCTTTCCAACCACGTCCTCCTCCTCCTCCTCCTCCTCCTCCTCCACCTCCTCCTCCCTCCTCCTCCTCCTCCTCCTCCTCCTCCCCCTCCCCCTCCTCCTCCTCCTCCCTCCTCCTCCTCCTCCTCCTCGTCCCTCCTCCGTCGTCTCCTCCGTCGTCTCCTCCTCCGTCGTCTCCTCCTGGAGGCCCCCCTCCCCTCCAGTCTCACGTCTGCCCCTCTCCCTCCCCCATCCGCCTCCCCCCATCCCCACCTCTGCCCTCCTCCCGTCCGTCCGGTTTCCCTCCGCCCTCTGCTCCTATCTCTCCCCGTCGGCCTCTTTCTCTCTCTTTCTCTCTCTCTCTCTCTCTCTTCCTCGTATTCCTCCTCCACTCGCCCCCTCATCCTCCCCCCTCCCTCTCTTGAGCCTCCGCCGTTGGAAACCGAGTCCGTTCACTCGCAATGGCCCCTCCCGCCAGAGCCAGGCAGAGACGGAGCCTCCTCCTTCTCCATCTCCTCCTCCCCCTCCTCCTCCGCGATCCGCCTCAATCCTCATCGATCCTCTTCCTACTTCTCATCTGCCCGATCCTCCTCGATCCTCTTCGATTCCCGTCCTCGATCCTCCTCCACCACGATCCTCCTCAGCCCCCTCCTTTCCCTCCTCCTCCTCCTCCTCATCCTCTGAATCCTTTTTTGCCGCATCACAGAAACGACCTCACGGTCCAGACTCCTGGGCCGCTACCCCGTGCACACGGGGCGGCGGCTGCGCGGCTGTCCCGCGTGGGAGGCGTCCGTGGGATCGAAGATCCGCGGGGTCGCGCCCCCGGTGTCCAGAGAGAGAGGGCAGGGGCACGGCTGGGTTCGTCGCTCCTGACGCGCGTCCTGGTGCTGATGGAAACTCACTGCAGGCTCGTGTCATGGCGACCCCAGCGTTGGTTTCTGACACCGCGTGGATCGTTCAACCTGGGACGATTGGCGCTTCGATCGCCATGTCGTTCCACACTTGACGATTCTGATCCATCGGCGGCGCTCAACTGTGAACGCCCGCGCTGGGATGGCCGCCGCGTCGGCACACGAACCTACCGTGATTGAGGTGCCCAAGATGGGGTCCCCGTAAGCCGCTACCCTTCCTCCTCCTCCTCCTCCTCCTCCTCCTCCTCCTCCTCCTCCTCCTCCTCCTCCTCCCCCTCCTCCTCCCATTTTCATCCCGAGTCGTTTCCTGACGGCCCCACGACCCGACGACGGCCCCCAGAGGCGCCAGAACTGGTGACAAACCTTCCGCCCTGCTCGAAGGGAAACTGGGACACACAAATAAATACGCACAAATAAAAGGATTCCCCATATTTTACCATATTTTCTGGGTTTGTGTCTTCCCGCCCACTTCCCATATTTTCCCATATTTTCTGGGAAATCGAGGATTAATTGTGTCTGTGTGTTTCTTTTCCTCCTGATTGCTCTTGTTCGACACATTGGAGGTCTGGTGTCTGGCAGGCCTGAGGTGGATCGCAGCGCGAAGCCCGAGAGGATCGGTAACGGACCGGATCGCCCGCGAATCGTCCCGAATCGAGTCGACGTCGGATGGCCGCGCCCGGCTCCGGCTGGCCTGGCCGATGCCGGCGAATCGAGCAGTTCGAATATCATGGGAATCGCGGCTCCAGCCAGCGACTCGAATCGCATCGGATGGGGTCGTAGGCGCCCCTGGCATGAAGTACAACGCCAGGGCAAGACTGGCCCAGGGGGAAATATGAGACCCCCCCAAACGAAGAATAAAAAAGAGGAACTAACAAAACCGAAGAGCAAACCAAACCGAGGAATAAACCAACGGATGAAACCGACGAACGGGAGAACAACAACAAACCGAAGAAACAACCAAACAGATGACAAAAACCCAAACCAAGGGACATCTGAAAGATAGGTTGCCGATAGATCGGCGATAGCGCCCCCACAATAGCGAAACCGCACGGTCATGGCTGGGCGGGGTGAACTATCGGGCCCCTATCGGCGATCAGTGGGCGATTGGGGGTCGATGCAGCCCCCTAATGTTGTCCCCTGGCTGTCAAGTCATAGCACTGCTCCCCAGCGGCCGTTCGGGACGATCTGGGCACACCGAGAGGCCCTCGACGAGGCGCAGCTGCTGTAATGCACCCCGAGGCTGGAAAACCAACGAGAACCGACAAAAACGTCCGAACATCCGGACGCTGTAAACCAACACTTTCCCGACAAACCCTGGCGTCCCTGAACCTCTCCCAGGGTGCGTTCTGACCATGATCGCATCTAGATACATGTGTAGATATCTATATGTATACACATACATAAGTAAATGTGTAGATTGCATCTGTACATGCGGCCATGACAGGTGCTACTATGGGGGGCGGGGAGCGCGGGGGGGGGCATCTTGTAACGCCCCCCCCCACCGCCGCGTGGCTCTGGCACCACAGCGCGCATGCACGCAACACGGCAAGCACCAGCGCGCAGCACAATATTATTTTGTTCCGGTATCCAGGCGGACGACACCAGGCTCACACACTAGTCAGTCCAAAGGCTACCTCACCGTGCCCGTGAGGTGGACCCCCAGGTCCTGCCTTCTTGGGGTAGGCAGCGCCAGGGACAAACACTTTCACTGATAGCCCCACAGGCAAGTCGCCGCACCGACGCAACGATGCATCTGCCCTCGCCGACTGCCATACGTCAACGAAAAACGTCCGGATACTTTACTGCAACTTCGCATCTCGGGGCAGTGCGCAGCACAGTATGCACTGCTGCAGCCGCGTGCGGTGACAAGGACGAAGCGGCGGACGAGGAAGAGGACGACGACGATGTCGACGACGACGACAGCCTCTGGTCTCAGGAGATCCCTGGAGGCGTCTGGAGGCCCTTCGAGGCCCCTAACGACGACGACGACGACGAGGACGAGGACGAGCACGACGACGACGAAGAGGATGCCGACGACAACAAAGACGACGACGACGACAAAGACGAGAAGGACGACGACGGCCGCCTCTGAAAATCTCTGGAGGTCTCCGGAGGCCTAGGGAGGTGTTCGGAGATCTCTGGAGGCGTCTGGAGGCCCTTGGAGGCCCTCGACGAAGACGACGACGACGACGAGGACGACGACCGCCACAAAGTTGAGGAGGAGGAGGAGGACGACGACGACGACGACGAGAACGGGGACGAGGACGGGGACGACGACGACGACGATGACGACGACTACAGCGACGACGAGGACGACGACGATGACGGCAACAACGACGACGACAAACATCGACGATAAGCAGCACAGTAGCCTGCGAGCATCACACTGGCAGTGGCGGAGGCGCACAGCCTTGAGGATGGGGTAGCGTTACGCTGTGGAGTGAGGGGGCATAACGCGCGTTGCGGCCCAGAGAGTTTAAATATACACGCTCCATGATGTCGAGGATAATCCAGCCGTGGCGACGAGGAGCTCTCCAGGACGAGCAGCGGTATCGGCACCTTTCTTCTCGTGTTGCATATTCGGGGAAGCCTCGTCTGTCCCATCCCGCCAATGGTCCGTGTCGAATCCGCGTCGAAAACATGTCGAACGTGTCGGGTGATGCCGTATCGGATCCGTGCCGAATCCACGTCGAATCCGCGTCGAGCCCTCGTCGGAGAACAGAAAAGGACCGCAATCCAGAGGACAGAAACGGTACCCCGAAGATGCAGCGCAAATTCCTCTTCAAACCCCCCCCCTGCGCCTACCCCGCCCTAACGCTGCCCCTGGCTGTCCAGCCCGGGCGGCCCCCGCCCACCTCCACCCCGCGCACCCTCCCCTCGCGCTCCCCCCCCCCCACGCGCACCCTCTCACCCTTCCCGCGCACCTTCCCTCCACTCGCCACGGAGGGAGGGAGGGAGGAGGAAGGGAGGGCTAGGAGGAGGCGAGGAGGACGAGGAGGAAGAGGAGGGAGAGGAGGGAGGACGAGGGAGGGAGGGAGGGAGCCTGCCCCCCCCACTCCCCTCTCTCCTGACTGGCTGGGCCGTGCGGCCGCCATTATGCTTCCTCCGACGCGGGCAGCGCGCCGCCCGCGCGCGGCTCGGGCTCCAGCAGCAGCCCGCGCGTTCGGAGCCCGGCGCCCTGCCCGGCAGCCCCCACCGGCCTCCGTCGCCCGGAAAAGCGCAGGGGCAGGAGGACGAGCTGGAAGGGGCCCTGGGACACACAAATGAACAGACCCAACTAACAGGATTCCCCATATTGTCTTACATGTTCTGGGAGTTTGTCTTCCCCCCCACTTCCCCTATTCTCCTGGGGATCGACGATAGATTGTGTCTGTGTGCTTTTTCCCCTCCTGAGAGCTTCACTCGCGAGCGACGGCAGGTTCTGCGGGCAAGACTCGTACCCAAATCCACTGCGGCTTGGAGTGTCCCCAGAAGCCCCAACCGCACTGGATATTGGATAAAGTCTGGCCCCTACAGGACGCAAAGCAACCCCGGAGAACGGGATGCGGGACCTCGGGGCCCCGTGCGGTGACAAACCATGCGGTGAGTCACCGCACAATCAACCACCGCATCGTACGGTCTGTCAGATTATCTATCACCGCACGGTCTACAACCACACGGTCTATCACCGCACCGAAAGGTCTATCACCGCACCGCACTGAGGTTCCAAGAACGCTCCAATATTAGTTCATAAGGCCTCGTCGAGGCTCCCGACTCCCCTGGTTGGCTATTGTTCGGGACATGGGTTGATTCCCAAGAGACCTCACCGCACGGTCCGTCACCGCATGGATGTGGGACTCTGGGAGGCCCTAATCGCCCGAGACGTCCTCGGACAAGGACCCATGTCCCAAAAACGTGCGGCCACGCGGAATGCCTACTGACTCACCACGCGCGCACGGTGTGGTCACCGCAGCCTGTGAGGGGCCCACGACACTCGCGAGCGACGGCAAGTTCGCGCCGTGATATCGACGGCGTTCGGCGATGGAGAATACAATGCGATACGGTACCCATACCGCACCTCCCCAGACCTCTCCAGGAGTGCGTTCTGACTAGAATTTCGACGTGGCGAATCCAGCCGTGGCGACGAGGGCCTCTCAAGGGGAGAAACAAGGAAAACGGGGGAGTGGTAACAGTATCGGTATAGCTCGTGGAGTTCTGAGCTGCGACAGCGACCAATCATGGGCGGCAGTACCAGCCTACTGAGAACTCTAAGGGGTCCTCAAACCCGCCGTTCGGCTTGCAACTGGCCAGCGCACTCGGCACGAGGGCCACACCGCACTCGTAGCATGAACCCCTGCGGGGAGTAGTGGGGGAGGAAGGAGACGGCGAGGAGGGAAGAGGGAGAGGGGACAAGACAGGACAAGAACCGATACAAGGCACAGTTCCTCAAGTCAGACTGGGGGGAATAATCGGCCCTCGGATGCGTATGGAAACGCCTACCAGCGGCAGCCGCTGGAAGGACAGCCTTCCCTGGCCGACAGCGGCAAGGCTATGAGGGGAGAGCGAGCCGCCCGCACGCGGCACAATCCTTCCTGTGAGGAGGGAGGGGTAGCCGAATGAGTGGATCAAGATGCGACCCTAGCCGCCTGCACGGCGGGAGAAGTTGAGCAGGGACCGACCGTCCCAGCATTCCTATAGGCCTACCTGATGAGATAGTATGTCGATGGACAAGATATCTCTTTTCCATCTTGAGCCTTGAGCCAAAATGGGTGCACGGAGGAGGGTGTCAGAATCACTCCTCCTCGGGCCTGGCCGCCAACCCGGCCAGGCACGACCTACGTCGTACGCGGGCGCGCCCAAGCCGACGCGCCCATCTCATCAGCTAGGCTGCGGCCATGCCGCGAGCCCCTCACTCCGTCCGGCGCGATCATACCGCCGCCGGCGGAACCTCATCCAGCCCCACAGGTAGCGGAGCATGGATTCGATCCACTCCATCACTTGAAGTCCTTCTGAGTCGAACTCGGTGTCCGATCCCAGATGTTGAGCGTCGCCATGTGTCTCCTCAAAAGGGATCCACCCACGCTCTTGGTCAGCACGTCCGCGACATTGTTCTTACCAGGAACCGCGGCGATCGAGAGGTCGCCCTTACCCACGCGCTCCTGGATCCACAAGTATCGTGATTGAACATGTCGCATCTTCCCGAGACCCCGCCGTTGGACGTGGCCCCGGGCCGCCGATGAATCCGAGGCAAGCTCCACCTTCAGGTCCAGCCCCCAATCCGCGAAGAGGCTGTGAAGGCCTAGGCCCACGCTCCCGCCCTTCACCAGGGCGTAGTACTCGCTCTCCCCGCTGCTCAATGAAACCGTCGACTGCAGGTTGCTGCCGTGCTTGACTACATGATGCCCTAGCATCGCCACGAAGCCTCCTGTGCTCTTCCGCGAGACTGCACAGCCTGCATGATCAGAGTCCACGTACACCCGGATCTTGTCGAACATCTTCTGCTCCGTGAAAACCGTCACCGTGCTAGGATGCCGCTTAAGGTAGCGGCCAACCCTCTTGAGCATGAGCCAGCTCGCCTCCGTTGGCGTCTGCATGGACCTAGCGAGCGTCTTCGATGCCTCTGCCAAGTCCAGCCTGTCCTGAGACAGGTAGGCCACCCTCATGGTGAGGGATCGGAAGCGCGAAGCTTCCGCTGCTCCCAACGCCGCCGACTTCGCATCCATCATCTGCTTGTCGGCGCTGCGCTTCTCCATCGGCGTGTCCACGCCGTTGGCCTTGCTGAGACCCAACTCGTCGATCACGATCTCCGCGTGCCGCTTGTCCGGCTCGATCATCGCATGCCGGCAGGGCCGGCCACCGCCAGGCGGAACTCCCGCACTGACCTCGATGACCCGATTCAGGAAGACCGCCTGCTTGTCATCGCCCTCGTCGAAGCCTAGGTTCGCAGTCTTCTTGAACTCGTACTTCTTGCCCAGCGTGGCCTCGAAGCTGTCGATGTCCTGCTGCTGAGCCAGCACCGCGAAGTCGTCGCCGTGCCCCAGCAGCCTCGTCTCGTCCACCTCCTTGTAGAAGACCGCTGGGCACGACACGCCCGCCTTGTAGCCGTGTTCCTCCAGCAGCTCCGTGTAGTCGCCCTGCCAGATCTTGCTGGCGTCCTGCGTGCCGTACCAGGACTTGAGGAGTAGGCCGCACTTGTCCTCGCCGTACTCCTTGCGACTCTCCTCCTCCAGCTCTACGAAGATCCTCCGCTGCGCCTTCCCGTAGAAGTGCGCCCTGCTGATGTCGAAGAAGCCGATCTTGAAGTTGCCCGGCTTCCTGCCCTTCTTGCGAAGCGACTCCTGAATGTGGAGCGGTGCTTCCCGCGTCCACGTGACCATCAGCGAGACCAGCGACCGCATGGCCTCCAGAGGAGGCATGGCCGAGAAGACCTCGGACGCCTCCAGCTGCTCGTCGGGGCGCTTCTTCGCCTTGATCTCCTTCACGACGAGCCTGCTCCTGTAGTTGGGCCTCTCCGCGTCACCCTTGTTCGTGTCGACCCACTTGAGTGGGATGGGCGGACGCCCAGTCTCGGCGAAAGCCTGAGACCTCGGGACGATCTCGATCAGCTCCTGCTTCTTGACCCACTCGCGCTCGACCGCGCGAGCCTGGGCCACAAGGCCCGCCTCCAGGTAGCCGCCATTGACGTCGTCCCAGTAACTCGTCCAGTCCCCGGGCGGCACTGCCGCGTCCACAGGGACTGGGCCCGACTGCTGCACCTGGGCGGTGCTGAGCTCTCCCACGTCATTCAGCGTGTCCTTGAGCTCCTCCAGCACCGCCTCTACCAACTTCGGTGGATAGACCTTCGCGAACCGCGCGATGCCGCCCACGAGCGTGATGTGGCGATGCCATTCCGCGCGGCCGTCCACATTGCTGCAAGTGCCCTGCAGCCTCCGGGCTAAGCCTGGATGGTTGGTGACCCATCCGGTCTCCTTGCGCACGAACTCCTCCTGACCACTGCGTGGGTTCGTGAGCTTCATGCCCCACCGACACATGGGGCCTTTGACCGTGAAGACTCCTGGATGCGCGACCAGCTCCTTGACGATGTCCTCATTCCACGATCGCGCGCTCCAGGGATGCTCATGCAGGAAGTACCTGCCTGGCTTCCTGAGCTGACGCCAGTAGGCGTCGACTGCCACCTTCAGGTGGTGTCTGGCCTCCTCCATCTCAGCCGCCTCCTGCTCATCGGTCCTGAACTTGGCGCTCAGGCCCCTCAGCAAGCTGAACTTCTCGCATGGAGGGGACCCCGTGAGCAGGATGGGATCCATCCGCTCCTGCTGCCTCTCGAGCTCCTTGACATCCTCGGGGCGCCGCAAGTCCCACGGCGTCCCGTCCTCCTTGAGTTCCTCCAGGTCCGCCGCGAAGCCCGGGCGCAGCTGAAATTCCGCTGCCCGAGCCGAGAACCGATGTGGCGAGTACACCTCGGCCACGTCCACGGCGCCCAGCTGCAACGCCGATAGGGCGATGCTGTCCACCTCTTCGTCGGCGATGTCCACGCCGGCGCTGGCCCAATGGCCACTGACCTGTTCGCGAACGAGCGGGAGCAACTCCGCCTTCGCTCTCGTCAGCACTCCGAGCTCAACCAGCTCGATCGACGCCATATCGAGGGCGAGCACCCGCATGTGCCTCCCCTCACTGGCGTTCCACACGACTGCCACTCCAGCTGGCAGCTGAGGTCCTTCCGCTGGCGCCGGCTGCGCCGCGAGATCCTCCATGTCCACCGGTACCGGCACGTCTGCCGGCTGTGGATCACCGCGCTCGAGGGCCTCCGGCACGTCATCCGGGGCCACCTCTGCCAAGCGCTTCAGCCGCGACCTGGCCGCGGTCATGTCGACATCCGCGGCGGCCTCTGCCGCTCGCGCCGCTCCCGAACTGGAGCTCGCTCCTCCTGAAGGAGCCGCCACGCCGAAGCCCGGTGCTACCGGCTGGCTCTCTCGCATGCGCGCCGCTGTGGCTGCCACGGCTGGCGCTGCTGCCGATCGGGCCGCGGCCGGCGCGGCCGATGCCGCTGCCGCCGCTGCCACCGGCTCGGTGATCCTCCGAGCCGTCTTCGGCGGAGGGGTCCCTGCCGCGGCCGCTGCCGCTGGTCGGACTCTGGCCTCTTGGCCCTGCCTCCGTTCTCGATACTGGCCGGTCCTTTCCCGGCCTGCCTCCTCCGCGTCC